GCCGGGGGGAGGGTCCGGGGGGGGCTCAGCCCCCCGCCGCGCTCCCCGCAGGCTACGACTTCGCGGCCGTGCTGCAGTGGTTCGCGCAGCGCGTGGACCTCATCGTGCTGCTCTTCGACGCGCACAAGCTGGAGATCTCGGACGAGTTCTCGGAGGCCATCGGCGCGCTGCGCGGCAACGAGGACAAGATCCGCGTGGTGCTCAACAAGGCCGACCTGGTGGAGACGCAGCAGCTCATGCGCGTCTACGGGGCGCTCATGTGGTCGCTGGGCAAGGTGTTCGGCACGCCCGAGGTGCTGCGCGTCTTCATCGGCTCCTTCTGGGCCGAGCCGCTGCTCGTGGCCGACAACCGGCGCCTCTTCGAGCTCGAGGAGCAGGATCTGTTCCGCGACATCCAGAGCCTGCCGCGCAACGCGGCGCTGCGCAAGCTCAACGACCTGGTGAAGCGGGCGCGCCTCGTGCGGGTGAGCGCACGCCCGGACGCCGGGGCCCCTCGGACGCCGGGGCCCCTCGGATGGCGGGGCCCGCCGGGCTGCCCAGGCGCGCAGCCGCCATGGCCCAGCCCCTTCCCAGGGCGCGGAGCAGAACCGGGAGCGGGTCCCGGGACCCCTGGGAACCAGAACCGGGAGTGGGTCCCAGGACCACTGGGAACCAGAACCGGGACCGGGAGCGGGTCCCGGGACCACTGGGAACCAGAACCGGGAGTGGGTCCCGGGACCACTGGGAACCAGAACCGGGAGTGGGTCCCCTGCCGCCCCGGCCGGTCCCGGGACCCCTGGGAACCAGAACCGGGAGCGGGTCCCGGGACCCCTGGGAACCAGAACTGGGAGCGGGTCCCCTCCTGTCTCTGCCGGTCCCGGGACTCCTGGGAACCAGAACCGGGAATGGGTCCCGGGACCCCTGGGAACCAGAACCGGGAGTGGGTCCCCTCCTGTCTCTGCCGGTCCCGGGACCCCTGGGAACCAGAACCGGGAATGGGTCCCCTCCTGTCTCTGCCAGTCCCGGGACCCCTGGGAACCAGAACCGGGAGTGGGTCCCCTCCTGTCTCTGCCGGTCCTGGGACCCCTGGGAACCAGAACCGGGAGCGGGTCCCGGGACCCCTGGGAACCAGAACCGGGAGCGGGTCCCCTCCTGTCTCTGCCGGTCCCGGGACCCCTGGGAACCAGAACCAGGAGCGGGTCCTCTCCCATGGACAGATCCAGGACCCCCTCGCGACTCCGGTTCCTATGACCCCCATCAGGCACCAGCAGAGCCCGGACGCCTGGGCCCCGCAGCCAAGGCGGGGATGGGGGGCAGGACGCCTGGGCCCCTCACAGGGATGGGGGGGGTGTCCAACAATACCCCCATCCCGGCCGCATCCTGGCCTGGTTTCCTCGTTAGCGGAGCTTTCCGCCCCCTCGTTAGCGGAGCAATTAACGGCGGGTCCTGGGAGGGGGGGTGAGCCCCTCACCGCGGCGTAGGGCCGGCCCGGCGGAAGCGGCCGCGTTTCCCAGCGCCGTTTTCCCTCCTTATCTCTTCCGGCCACCTGCTTCGGGCGCCCGGGGTTTCCTCCCGCCCGGAGCCGCCCGGAGCCGGGATTTTCCAGGACGGGGGCCAAGGCGGCTCCCGCGCGCGGGGATGGGGATTCGGCTCCATCCCATAGGAACCACCGTGGGAGGGAGCGAGCTTTGCCCACCATGACCCCCGGGTGCTCCCCAAAACCCCTCAACCCCCCCCAAAAAAACCCATCCAAAAACCCCACCCCGGCATCCGCGCGTTGGGGGGGCGCCCGGACGCCGGGGCCCCGCTGACGGCGCGCGCCGCAGGTGCACGCGCACATCATGGGGCTGCTGAAGAAGGAGATGCCGGCCGTGTTCGGCAAGGGCAGCAAGAAGAAGCAGCTCATCGCCAAGCTGCCGCTGCTCTTCGCCCGCATCCAGCTGGAGCAGCACATCCCGCCCGGAGACTTCCCGGACTGCGCCCGCATGCAGGTGCGCCGGGAGTCCCGCTCGCCGCGCCCCCAAAACGCGCGCTGCGCCCCCAAAACGCGCCTGCTGCAGCCACAAAACGCGCCTTGCGCCCACACAGTGCGCTTCCTGCGCCCAGAAATCCTGCTTTGCATCCGGAAAAGCTGCTTTGCGCTTGGAAAACGCTCTTCCTGCACCTGGAAAATTCGCTTTG